TGCGCCCGCCTGCTAGTCTGCGGGAGCTGGGTCCCCAATAACTCTGTGCTCCCTGCTTGGGCCTGGATCTGTGATGGCTGGGCATACTCGCCTGTTTTCGATCTGCGGTCTGCTAGACTTTCCCCAGGCAAAGCCTAGATGACCCCAGCAGCATGGTTTCTTCCTTCTCTGTGGGGGCCTCTCCGGACAGGGGTTCCCAGTCTCTGTTGCACTGGGGGATGCAGCTCATCCATACAGGTGAGCTGGGCTCGCAGCCACTCACATGACCCAAGCAGCCTGGTTTCTTCCTTCCCTGTGGGGCCCTCTCAGGACAGGGATTCTGAGTTTGTTTTGCACTGGGGTGCGCAGCTCCTCTGTACCTGTGAGCTGGGCTCAGAGCTCTGCGTGGCGGGAGCTCGGTTGTGATGGCGGCGGGTACCCGCGGTCCACAAGACCTTCCAGGGAAAGACTGGGTGACCCGTGATCAGACTCGCAATTTTGCTTCCCATGGGGTTTTCTTGCGACTGTGACTCACAGTCGCACGCACCCATGTGCCCACCAATCAGCCTGGGAAAGTGATTGGGACATGCAGGCTGCGGCTCCAGCCTTAAAGGCCTCGTTACCCGGGATTTCTTTGGGTTCTGGCTGGGCAGCCAAGAGTGGACCCTACCAATTCCCACGCCATGGGAGCCTCCCCTCACCTGGGAAACACAATCGCTGTAGTTTTAGGGCCCAGAGTTCAGTCTCCTGGTCGCTGCACGGAGAGTGCTGTCCGGCTTCTCAGACACAGTGCTCTCCTGGCGCCACCATCTTGGCTCCCCCCTCCTTACATTTCTTGTATTCCTTTTAAATACTTTCCCTTCCTGTGGCATTCTTTTACTTCATCTCCATATATCAAAACTTTAGCTTCCACTAAAATAGTGGTTCTCAACCTTCCTAATGCTGTAATCCCTTTAATACAGTTTCTCATGTTGTAGAGACCCCAACCATACAATTATTTTCACTGCTACTTCATAACTATAATTTTGGTACTGATATAAACTGTAGTGTAAATATCTGATTTGTAGGATGGTCTTGGGTGATCCCTGGAAAGAGTTGTTAGACAGAAAAGGGGTCATGACCCACAGGTTGAGAACTGCTACTCTAAAGCCTACTCAGCAAAAAAAAAAAAAAAAAAAAAAAATCAACAACACTTGCTTTGCTGAGCAGGGGGAAAAAAAAAAACCAAAACAATAACAAAACACTAGCATCCTGCAAATCTGAGCTTAATATCCAAGACCTCTGAAAGGTGAGCTCCAACTCTCAAAAGCAACTTTTCTAATCTCTGCATACATCTCGGTGCATGATTACATAAATAATGTATGTATGCATGCAAATACAACAACACATATATGCATACACTCAAACACACATACAAATAATGTTTTTAATTTAAAAATACATATTTTATTAAAGTTTAAAGATTTATTATTTCTCAGATGCTAAGACAGATGCTGCAAACACAAAGAATGAAGAGAAGCAATGGTGACTAGTGGTATCTTTGACTAACTCAAAGAATGTATGTCTAAAACCACTTTTCAAAAGCTCAAACAATAGCAACAGCCAAACGAAGTAATGTTTTCTGGACCAAATTCTAATCTCTTGCTTATCCACATATTCTCTGTTCTATAAATTAAAAGGCCACTGTTCAGGGGTAGCCACTTTTAAAACCACAAATCTTTAAAATACAACTGTACAACATTTTATAAAGTATCACAGCCAAATGTTAGAAAGCTTCTTGAGATGAAAATATTTTTTTAGAAATATTGAATTTTAAGTGAAAAATTATAAGAAATTATTTTATTTATAAAATCTAATAGATGATAGTCATTTTCTTTTTTTTGTTTTATGAATTTTATTTTTTTCTTATCAGTTACATTTTATTAACTCTGTATCCCAGCTGTGTCCCGATCCCTCATTCCCTCCCAGTCCCTCTCTCCCTCCCTCATCTCCACAGTGCCCCTTTCCAAGTCCACTGATGGGGGGGGACCTCCTCCCCATTCATCTGATCCTGTTTTATCAGGTATCTTCAGGACTGGCTGCAAAGCCCTCCTCTGTGGCCTAACAGGGCTGCTCCTCCCTTGGGGGGTGGGGAGGCCAAAGAGCCAGTCATTGAGTTCCTGTTAGAAATAGTCCTTGTTCCCCTCACTTTGGGAAACCAATTGGTTACTGAGCTACCACAGGCTACATCTGAGCGGAGGTTCTAGGTTATATCCATACATGGTCCTTGATTGAATGTCAGTCTCAGAAAAGACCATGTGCCCAGATATATTTGGTCCTTGTGGAGCTCCTATCCTTTCCCTGGATGATAGTCATTTTCATAGTATGATCAATATAACCCATATAAATAAGCAAGAAATTGCACATGAATTTACTATTAACACCATAAAACTCATTTAACACTAACCACTCAATGTCCCTAAGTACTTGCTACATAGAAGAAATGGCTCAAACATGGAAGAATGGCAATGCCTATGGGGGGGAGGGAAGGAAGGAAGGAAGGAAGGAAGGAAGGAAGGAAGGAAGGAAGGAAGGAGGAGACAGACAGGAAGATAGGAAAAAAGAAAGAAAAAAGAGAACAAGCAAGAACAAAATTCAGATGCAAACAGCAACTACATTCCACTGTTTCAAAATCTATTCATTCATTGATTTAGTCATATTTACTATGCAAATATTTAACCTGATAGACAGTGTATTTGTGTTAGTATGTGTAAATTGCAAACATAACAAATATGGTCTTTGTCATAATAAAACCCAAAATAAAACTGAGAGAAAGAAGTTAATAAAGCCATCAAAATAATCCTGAATTTTAAAAAATTATTTTAGACAGTGGAAAAGGAGCGGAGAAAGAAATTTTATTTCAGAAACAATGCTAAAGAACGGTTATTTGAGAAGGTGAAACTTTGCAGGGACCTGACTAAAGGGAAGAAGATAAGAAAGGAAACAAGGATATTGAACAGCTATATACATTTAGTGTTGCTGGCTGGCCAACGGTTCAACAAGCAGTAGCAACAGGATCTGATAGAAAGAAAGCCCTGAAACTGCTATAAATAAACAAGGCCACTGCTGCTACTGCAAGTTAAGGCTGTGAAGAAACTGGGAGGGAAGGCTACAGATGCTGGCAGGAACTAGGTCATTGCAACCAATAGTATGCCCTTTCTTATTGTCTGGACTTACATATAAAATAGATAGCCATTGGTGGTTTTCAAACAGGGATTCTTTAATCGAGGATGCACTTACACTAACAAATGAGTACAGGCACTAAACTATTGTTACAGCAATCAAAGGTTACTAAGGTCTTATTATAGACTGACCCAGTGTATGAATGTTGTCAAAGTTGGCTTTATGCTACCAGTGCTAGCTCTGGCACTACCTAAAATAAATTCCCAGGAAGAAAAAAAAAAAAAAAAAAAAAAAGAATGTGAATAACTACAAAAGAGCCACAATAATTTGTAAAAAGTATTTCTCAATGCTTTCTCAACTGTATATGGACATTCTCCTAAAAAAGTGGGAATATAAAAGTTTTTCAGAACTATGAGAAAACAATGAAAACATGAGAGACTTTACAGGAAAAAATACACAAAAACAAATATTTTAGAAACATTGAAGTATGAAACAGATATGTGCAGTTTTTTGTGAGCAGTAGCCCTAACTCAGTTCATATCTTCCCCTTGCAGCATTTTCTGTGGGCCAGCTTCTCTAGAGACCAGAAGATCCCTCATGTGACAACATACCCAGGAATGAACCACAATGGCCTCTAATAATTAGTCACTGTGCCTAAGGAATCTATGAAGCCAAACATGAGTCCAAGAGAATAAATGAACAGGAAAACTTCCTACAAAGAAAGGCATAAGAAGAAACAAAGGAGGGGGAGAGATGGCTCAGGAGTTAAGCGTGCTTACTGCTCTTTCAGGTACCTGAGTTCTGTCCCCAGCACATGCCACAACTACTTTGAGAGAAAATAACTTTAGTTTTTTTTTTTATTGCGTAATATAATTAAAGTTCTAATTTGAACTATGATGTACTCTTTTAGCTATCAAGATGAACTAAAATGATTTTTTAGGTTGAAGAACTGAATTGTTTTAATAGTTAAATAATAATTGGACAGTAAGCTTATGACATGAAAACTACATGTACAAAAGCAGAGAAAATAGCACATGTAGCTCATTCTGTGACTTCAATCACATTCTTGCTTGCAGTAACTTTACAGGGTAGGTTATGTCAATACTTTATTATTTTACTCTATAAATTTTGATGATTTTATTTACTAAATTGTAAAATAAGTAACCAGAAAACAGTAAAATTTCATGTTCTTAAAAATCTAGAGACGAAATTTAATGTTTAAAAAACAGTATGTAACTAAGATGCTCACTAAAATTATGTCTGAGAATCTGAATTTTTACAGATAATATATGATTTTTCATACACAAACCAACTTATTTCCTAATCCCTCAAGTTAGTGCTAGAAAGAGCATTTAAATCACAAGCTTCTCCCTATCTTATGGCTGGTTCACAGCAGACGGGTCTGGCTACTGAAACCAAGATACACACTAGAGCTTGCAAAGTATCCTTTCTCCAACAACCTGTCTGCTTCAGTTCCATTCATATTATTCAGGTACTCCACACTCCAACTAAACCAATACAGTCCTCTAGAGAGGAGTCCAGCACATCAAGAACACCAAGTATGGGAGCCACTCTCAAACAATCCTCAACTACTGAACAATCAGGAAAAATGTACAAGACAGTGTAATAGAAGCAAGAAAGTATAATCACGGTATACAGGACACATGCACAAAATTCTCAAATATGAAAAAGAAAACAAAAGAGCTGCTCTCCTCCTAAAATATAATCAGTACTTTCTTCTCAAATTTTACTGTGTTTTCTAAAGTTCTTTCTATCAAGCTGACAGTCAGAAAATTCTAGAGAACACTGATGAGGAAGCAACACCCTGACAGTACAGAAGTAAAGTAAAGGCCCATTACCTATAGTGCTCGCTGCGGGGAACACTGCGCGAGAAGTACAGAGCTGCTGTCCGTGCCCTCCAATGCCATTTCTTCGCAGGCAGGGTGTAGAGGACACAGTCATCTACTTCTTCTTGGAGCAGATCTACCAGCTGTCGATGTGACCCTCCGTAAAATGCCTCGATGATAAGAGTGCTCATTGGCCTGTTCAAACCTTCAGACTTAACAAAAACAAATTTTATATATAAATGTATATACATGTATATTTTTCAAATGTATAAATACAATTCTAATAAACACATACTTAAAATTGAGATAATGCAAATATTTTATTACATGTAATTTTTAAATAATAAACATCCTCAAGGCTTGAGAGACAGCTCAGCCATTAAAGCTTACAATCTAAGAGACAAAAATAAGGACCCCCTTAAAAAAGAGAAAAAAAATAACATTTACTTATGGGCTGAAATCATCAATTGATATGTTTATGGTATTTATGTTAATAAGACATAAAGATGCCTTTATTTTCATTATTTCTGTTTTCTTTGGCCCTAAGATTACTTCTGCTATGACTCTTAATTTATTGTCCTATCCAGAAGCATAAAATTCTTTCCATGTTCTCTTCCTTGTTGGCTTGTTCAGTACTAACCCTAACTTGGTGAATTTTGACCCTGCTTATCCTAGAACTTTCTTAGATAGCCTTTGAACTGGTCACCTAAAGTTTTTACTTTTCTGAGACAGGGTCTCATTGCATGGAGGAGTCATAATGACCCTGCCTTAGTCCCATTTTTAAGGCTCTTTCCTGTTCAGCAACTCTCCTGCTACTTCATCTTTCAATCCACTCGTTATCACTTCTCCAATAAATCCATATTTCAAAAAAAGTACATTTATATCTAAAAATCAAATTTCTAACATTAAAAATATTAGGACATAATTTTTTGAGCCACAATACACATACCTTGATCAAAAAATCTTCCTTATTTTTTTCAATATCCTAGCCTCTTCTGAAACACCAAAAACTTGGGTTAAAGGTATATATCAGTTAACTCTAACGCTTTGATTAAACCATTAAGAGAATAAGCTAGTAATGGTAGAGTTCTTAAGCTGCAGTTAAATTTAATCACAAACTAATTATCAAGCAATTTTTCATTTTAGTATTATATTTGTCAATGTACTCAATGAAATAAAATATAAATAAATATTGAAAATTTGATATAAATTTGAGAATATACCTTCTTTCCTGTGATTAAGAGGAAATATTATTCTGTACATGAATGCTATGAATAAAGTAAATAACACTCATTAAACAGTATATACTTTAAAATAATGTTATATAAATTCTTATTTAAGCATACTTAACTTGTATTTTACAGCAAAACTATCATATGGTTTTCATATTAGTAACTAAACTAAAAAAAATGTTGATGTGTGAATCTTTCAATAAACATTTGAAGAAATTGAAGAGTTAGTAGTATGTGAGTATGTGTTCATATGTGTGTGTGCACACATATGAGGAGAGGCAAAAAAAGGAGAAGGCAAAGAGATTAATTCACTTACATGAAAAATAGGATTAAGTATTTACTAGGAAGAGACAAGTTTGCCTCTGTTTACTTTCCAGTTGTATGATATCAGTAAGTTAACTTTTTCTGAAGAATTCACCTCTAAAATTATAATAAGGGTTCCAAACTTAGAGGCATGTTCTAAAAATAAAATTAGATCATATGAAGAAGAGCAGTTTAACCAAGAAATAAGCTATTTCTAAGCTACTATCTAACCAGAATGTGTATCACTGGATACATCGGAGTTTTAAATTCAGTAATTTTTAATCAAGGCATCCTATCAAGGACAGAAAGGAAAAGTGAGTTTGAAATCCAATTCATTTCTCCTCAGCACCTGGTATTTCAAATAGCAATTCCAGAACTTTATAGTTTGTAAGAAGGAAGGTTAGGGTTTAGCTATTCAGACTATGGGGTTCTCCCTCCTGTTTTTATAACCCAACATTCAGTGTGTTCTCGTACACATTTAATAGATGGAAGTACTTAATCCTTCAAATGATGATGATAAAAAAAAACCCTGAAAATATTTGAGATCAATGAAAAGAGTTTATAAAATTGTATCAAACGTTTAAGGAAATACAGGCTAAAAGCAGTTTTAAAATATCCTGCTTTCTAGATCTACATCACTTTGCTATTTTCTATGATTAATCAAAAGTATGTCATGTATTTATTTTACAGATGTTTCATATAGGTTTGAATCACAAGTTTATCAGCAAGCCTCAGCCACTGGAGGCAGCTCATGCATACTCAAACCCAGTGAACAAATCTAAAAACAAAGCACGGAAAAGGTCAAAAATAGAAAAAAAAAATGAAAAAAGATTATAGCTGTAGTAGATTTGTATCCTTTTAATAGCCCCATAAAAGGGAAGCGTACAGGTTTGAAGCAGCATTTATTTGAACATTTTTTCTAGTGGCCAATGGGTGTGCCTACATTTGGGATATTTTTCTAGGGAAAGTAACTATGTCCTACCATCTCTGAAAACTATACTTAGTGGCTTTGATTCATGGAATTTGTTCTGCTTGTTTTATGGAAACAGACATGTCCTGGCAGAACCCACACGGCTTCTATTGGAACTTTTGTGGCAAGAAGAAAATGTATTCTTCCCTGTACTCTTCTTGCAGAACAACCTGGAACAAAGATGATTTCCATCAGATACAAACAGATTTTTAAATAAAAGATTCAGACCAAATGCCACTAAAGCACATTACAGAACGGTTTAAATATTTCACTGTGCTTGGGTTTTGTTTTTAAAAACACTGCTTGAAATAAATAAACATGAAGCAGAAAGTATCCACTTTGCTGTTACAATAGAATTTGTAAAATACGAAGGCAGTGCCCTGTTTGTCCATTTTAACAGCAGCCAAAGAAACCTGCACATGATTACCCTCAAATAACAGAGGTTCACAAGCAGGCAAGCCATATATATATTGTGAGGCCACTAGCAGGGGCTAGTAAGGAGACAGTACTTGAAAGAAGCAGAAAAAAAATAAAATAAATAAAGCTTCTTATTTTAAAGTTCCAATTCCAAATCAAGGCTAGTTCCTCTTTGATGGCAGATAGTTAAGATGATGTGTCTGTCAGAAGATGGTGTTAAGCCTACAGAAGACTATATGTGCAGTCAGGAAGCAGAGAGATGAACATGGTGCTCATCTTGCTTTTTGCTTTTTTTCTTTATATTCAAATCACGTCTAGGACCTTAGCCTACAGGATGATGCCATTCACATTCAGGGTGAGTCTTCCCTCTCTTAAACTTTTCTGGAAACACCACACAGACACCCAGCCAGCAGTATTCCATGATGATCATATATCTACTGTGGTTGACAACAGTTTTCCCCCACTCCAATTAACTTGACACCCGATCATATCACTTTAAATCATAACATTCGACTCCAACACTTAAAGTGTGATTTTCATCTCATAATACAAAATGCACTTAGTATATCTCTAAAGATCTCCTGAGTCAAACAATTTAAGTGCTGTTCAAAAACTGGAAGTATTTCTGAGATTCAATGCAATCTCTTAAATGTCATTCATACACAAAAACAGTTCTATGATTCTAATACAAAATGACACAGAGTAAACATTCACGTTCCTCAGAGAAGAAATGAGAAGGCAGGAAAGAAAGACTATCAGCAAGACTGAAAGTCAGCAAAGCAGACACTGAATCCTGGAGCTACACAGCTGTCCCCTGGGACTTGTGGTAGAATCATGCGGCCTCCAACAGCATTGGGAAGCTGATGACTGCTTCAAATAAAGGCTCTCAGTCAGACTCCATTCTGCAGCCTTCCTCAGTGGATGTCCCATTGCACAGCCCTCTCTAACATCCTAAGGTTTCTGTTGTCACTGAATTTAACTTTCATAGCTTCATTATTTTTTCTCTCTCTCTTTAATTTATTCATTTTATGTCCAGATCACAGGCCCCTCCTCGCCTCCCAATCCCACCTTCCCATCCTCTTCCCTCATTCCCTCCTCCCCTTCTCAGAGAAGGGAGTACCCCTCCCCTCATCCCACCCTAGCACTTTATGTGGAATCAGGACTAAGTGCATCCTCCTCCACTGAGGCCAGATGAGGCTGCCAAACTAGGGGAGAGTGATCCAACAGCAGGCAACAGAGTCCATGTAAGGAACAGTCCCTTCTCCAGTTGCTAAAGAAACCACGTGAAGACCAAGCTGTCCATCAGCACCATATGTGCAGACATGAGCCAAGGTAATTGCGTTCCTGAGAGGCTCCACCCTGCAGCAAATCAAAACAAACGCTGAGTCCTACAGTCAAACATTAGACAGAGATCTGCAAATCTCATGGAAGACTTGGGGAAGGATAGAGGAACCCAAAGGGGACAAGAACTCCACAAGAAAACCAACAGAGTCAACTAACCTAGGCCCGTGGTAGTTCACAGAGACAGAAGCACAAACCAAAGAGAATGCATGGCCTGGACATAGCTCATTCTTAAGGACTCAATACAGGGAGTCTGATTGCCACAGATTGCCTATCCTCAATAGCTTTGGAGAATTTTGATTCAAGCTTCTGTGACTGTGTTACATCTCTCCTGTCTGAAAACACAGTGTCATGAACAGCACAGCCAAGTTTTGTTGTCTTCTGGAAATAGGTCACCTTCGAGCAGAGATGCAGTGCCCCTCTAGGTTGGATCTGAGAAATAATTCCCTGGGCAGTTTAGATCCCACAGGAAATTCCACTGGCAGCATTCTCAATTCAGGCTCCCCTTTCAAATGAATTCACCTTGTCACAAATCCAGTCTTTGATGAGTGGGATCCTGCTCTCAGGGCACATCTCCTATTGTCTCCAGGTAGAGTTTGCAATTCTCTTTAATGATGCTAAATTCTTTAACAGCCACAGCTATTTCTCCACACCTCTCTTGTCCCTTGTTTTTACCATAACTTTCTGCTCAACTTCCTGCTTTCCTCACAGCAGAACTGGCTAAGAGCAGTAAGTGGTAACCATGACACAGCCAGAAGTCTATATACTGTCTTAAAATTTTTCCTCATCCAACAAACTTGTGCATTATTTTTTAATCCAGCCACCCACTTTTTCAATCCTTATACAGAATGAAACCTGTTTCTTGCCAGAATGAAACACTTCAGAATCTAACGTAGTTCCCAATAAAGTCCTTGTTTCTGTCTCAGAGCCATGAGCTGAGCCTCCATGG